CTAGATTTTTTCTGAAAGACTTCTTTCTTTTTTTTTTTCCTTTTTGTCCTTTTGTGTGACCGGTAGCGGGATCGCAACCCTCGGTGTCACGCCCGTACCACGACCAGCAACGGGATCGCAACCCTCGGTGTCACGCCTGCACCACGCTCAACCAGTGAGCAGACTGGTCTCTATATGGGATCTGAATCCTCGGCTGGAGCGCCGCCATGCTCCCAAGCACTGCACTCTACCGAGTGCGCCACCGGGCCGGCCCTGAAAGACTTATTTCTTAACACATCACACCACACCAAAAATCCTCCTTGGGGCCTAATATAAGTAACACAATTTACCAAATACCTGTAACCACAACCTAATATGCAAGCAGGAAGGATAAACTAATAAAATGTGAGATGCTTGTTTCTTTTCAGTGAAGGGTCAGAACAGGAAAGGTAATTTTTAGATTTGGTGCATTTTCAGTGAAACCACATAATGCATAAGTTTTTGCACTTATTTCAGCAGAAGAGGAATGTCAAAGATGGGTTTTAAAAATTGGTTGGTCAGATATTAGCATATATATATATATATAAATATATATAAATTGGTGCTTCCGATAGACAAATATTGCTTGTTTTCACTCAGAGGTGGGAGCTCAAAAAGTTGATCTGACAGAAGCAGAGAGTAGAAGAGTGGTTACCAAACTCTGGGAAGTGCAGGCTGGAGAGAGATAGGAAGAGGTTGGTTAACAGGCACAAAAATAGGGTTAGAAAGGAGGAGTAACTTCAAGTGTCCAGTAGCAGAGTAGGGAGACCAGGGTTGACAATAACTCATTGTATATTTCAAAGTAGCTAGGAAAGAAGATTTGGAATATTCTCAACACGAAGAAATGATAAATGCTTGGGGCGATGGGTCTGCTAATTAGCCTGATTTTATCAGCATACATTGAATACAGGTATCCAAATAGCACGTGTACCCCATAAATATGTACTATTATTATGTGTCAATTAAAAGTAAATAGATTTTTTTTAATGCAGGAAAAAATATAGATTGGTGCTGGAGGAAACACTACCAGGTTATACTGAAGAATTCCGTGAGTTCTAAGATATTATGATTCGTGAACTGATGATCACAGGAGAAATGGGTCATTACCTCCTCACGATTGTACTGAAATCCCAATTAAGTGACCTGGGGTTCTAGTTAAAAACGTTTAACGTGACAACCAGCTCACTTACGTGACACTGACATTTTACGGGGCTGCTGGATCCGTGGATTATCCAGCTGTGCACATGTGTTGGGTTTGCTCGGATGTGCCTGTGTGTGTTTTGTATTACCAGAAAAGCTGGATTCCTCTGAAACAGTAGACTTTGACCCATTTTTTCATTTATTTCCCTGGGAGGGGCAATAGTACACATTTTTCAGAGGACATGGCATCATATATTTGTTTTATTTACTGAGCTGTCAGTTTTCCTGATACCTGGATTTGGCAGCGTCACTACCTTAGAGGCCTCAAAGATCTCTGAAGCTTTCCAATAAGTAGGCCAGAACGGGGAGAGAAAACGCGTCACCACGTGGCACGTGACAGAGCTGCACCCCAGGTCTACCCATGAATTACTTCTGGATGAGCCTGCTGCCTTCTCTGAGTCAGAATCCTTTATTCAGGGGCCACTGCTCTTGGAATCTTGACTCGGAAACATGTGGGTACATGTAAAGTGGGTATCGTGCTTTGCTGAACAAATTCGAACTCTGCTAATATATTTTTGGGGGGCCCTCGTCCCACTTGTGCCTCCTCCTCTTCCAGCGCCAGCCTCAGCCACCACCCAGACCACTGTCCCCGCGTGCTGCCCCCTCGCCCGCAGCCCCTCCTGGAAGGGCTTCTCCCTCACCCACCCCCGGCTCCTGGATGAGGCCAGGGACTTCCAGTGTGGAAGAGACTGCGACTGTCATCACTGCCCTTAGCGGCTCACTGAGTGCAGAGCGTGGCACTTCTCTGGAGCGTCACCAGGCCCAGCACCACGACCAGCGCCCTGGGCCACCGCCCACCCCCACCGCCCTGGCGACGGTCCCCACCAAGGAAGGACGCAGAGCAGAGGGACGATGAGGGGCGTGAAGACCACCTCCGGGGCACGGCCCCTCTCCCTCGGCCCCCAAATGACCAGGACGGGACGCGGTGGCCTCGCAGCACGATGACTTTAATGCTGCCGTGCCCTCCCGCTCCCCTCCACGGGGCTCTGCTGAGGCACGAGCACGCGAGCTGTGCCGGCAGCGCCTGTGCACGGCCCGGGGGCGGCTCTAGAAGCACTTGCGGTGCACGATGGACGGGCCGGCCTCGTCGTACTCCTGCTTGGTGATCCACATCTGCTGGAACGTGGACAGCGACGCCAGGATGGAGCCGCCGATCCACACCGAGTACTTGCGCTCGGGCGGGGCGATGATCTGCAGCACAGAAGGGCCGTCAGTGAGTGTGGGCATCGGGTGTGGCGTGGGGGCACCCCCTGCCCTGCAGCCCACCCTGTGGCCTCCAGGCTGGGCCTGTGCCCACCTTGATCTTCATGGTGCTGGGGGCCAGCGCGGTGATCTCCTTCTGCATGCGGTCAGCAATCCCAGGGTACATGGTGGTGCCCCCTGACATGACGTTGTTGGCGTACAGGTCCTTCCTGATGTCGATGTCGCACTTCATGATGCTGTTGTAGGTGGTCTCATGGATGCCCGCAGATTCCATGCCTGAGGGAGGGGCAGCGTGAGCAATTGCAGGGCAGCAGGGACAGCAGGGACAGGGCTGGAGGCTGGTGGGGCCAGGGGCTGGCAGGGCCGGGGGCTGACAGGGACAGTGGGGACAGTGGGGTGAGGGGCTGGCGGGGATGGCGCGGCCAGTGGGAACAGCGGGGCCGGGGGCTGGTGGGGACAGCAGGGACAGTGGGGACAGCGGGCCGGGGCCGGCAGCTGCGCTCACCAATGAAGGAGGGCTGGAAGAGCGTCTCGGGGCAGCGGAAGCGCTCGTTGCCAATGGTGATCACCTGCCCATCGGGCAGCTCGTAGCTCTTCTCCAGGGAGGAGGAGGAGGCGGCCGTGGCCATCTCGTTCTCAAAGTCCAGGGCCACGTAGCACAGCTTCTCCTTGATGTCGCGCACGATCTCACGCTCAGCTGCGGGGGGCAAGAGGTCTTAGCCCCTGCGGGCCCAGCCCTGGCCCTCCCCCCGGGGCGCCGCGCACCTGTGGTCACGAAGGAGTAGCCCCGCTCGGTGAGGATCTTCATCAGGTAGTCGGTGAGGTCGCGGCCGGCCAGGTCCAGACGCATGATGGCGTGTGGCAGCGCGTAGCCCTCATAGATGGGCACATTGTGGGTGACGCCGTCACCAGAGTCCAGCACGATGCCTGCGCCGGGCGGGGCAGCCAGTGAGCGCCGAGCGGTGGGAGCTCAGGGTGGTGCGGGGCAGGGCGCGGGGCGGCGCTGGGGGGCCGGGTGGCACTCACCGGTGGTACGGCCGGAGGCATACAGGGACAGCACAGCCTGGATGGCCACGTACATGGCGGGCACGTTGAAGGTCTCAAACATGATCTGGGTCATCTTCTCGCGGTTGGCCTTGGGGTTGAGGGGGGCCTCGGTGAGCAGGGTGGGGTGCTCCTCGGGGGCCACGCGCAGCTCGTTGTAGAAGGTGTGGTGCCAGATCTTCTCCATGTCGTCCCAGTTGGTGATGATGCCGTGCTCGATGGGGTACTTCAGGGTCAGGATACCTCTCTTGCTCTGAGCCTCGTCGCCCACGTAGGAGTCTTTCTGACCCATACCCACCATGACGCCCTGTGGAGCGGGGACACCACGAGCACGTTACCTACTGTGGCTCCAGGTGCCGTGGGGCTGGGCTGTGCAGGGAACCTGGTCCAGCTCCCTCTGGGGACGGGTGGCTGACCTGGTGGCGGGGGCGGCCCACGATGGATGGGAACACGGCCCTAGGGGCATCGTCACCAGCGAAGCCGGCTTTCACCAGGCCGGAGCCATTGTCACACACAAGGGCGGTGGTCTCGTCTTCGTCGCACATGGTGTCTGGTTTCTGCCAGGACAGGAAGACCATGGAGATGCCCAGTGCCCAGCCCAGAAACCTCGGCGATGGAGGGGAGCCCCAGGTCCTAGAGACACCCACAGTCCCCAGCCCCCAGCCACACTTCCAGCCAGGGGAGACGCCAGAGGGTCCCACCAGAGCTTCGCCTCTGGGATCAGGGTACGATGTGCCAGTGTTGAGAGACCACACTGAAAAGTCCTTGACCCGGGTACCCAGGGGGACATTGTACCCAGACCTCTTTGCCTTTGCTGCAGGCCACCTGCTCCAAGAGCCAAGCACTAGTGCCCATCCTTCCTGTGCCTGGGTGGTCTCATTTGTCAAGTAGGGGTTAAGAGTGTGAAGGTAAGAGGGGAGCCCACGAAAGGTCTTTGGCTCCTCCACCCAGGGAGAAATGGCCTGTTCCAGACTTCCGTGACATTTCAGACTCAGAGTCCCCTGTCACTGAGCCCAGCCAGGAGTGGCCCTTGCTGTCCCCAGCTCTAGCACGGTTAGAAGGGAGCGGCCATCGGCGTGACTAAAGCAAACGTTCAACTTCCCTGGCACATTCTAAATGCCAGGTAGAGCTGCCCAAAGGGGCTGGAGGTAAATTCAGAGAGGTTTGCAGGGGCCGTGTCTCACAGTCCCCTCTCCAGCCACGAGGCCCAGCGCAGGGCACAGGCCTGGGGCTGACGGGCAGCCGGCTGGGCTCTGCCTCAGTCCTTTGGCTTGCCCTGTCCCCTTGTCCTCTCCCCACTCCTGCCCTACCTGAGCTGCTCGCCGCTGGGGGAGGGGAAGTGGGCGTCACCAGCGCTGTCTGCTGCAGTGGCCTTGCGGGCTCAGGTCTTATATAGCCCGTGGGCGCTCCCTCTGCAGTGCCCCGCAGGGACGTCGCTGCCCTTC